AAAAAAAAAAAAAAAAAAAGCTAGTGAGTCTCATTATTTTCCTTGCAGTGATATCTCCCACAATTTTCTGTTTATCAACAAAAAAGAGACTATTGTGAAAAACAGAATTTCTAAGGCTTTATCTGTGCCTAGGATAAGCAAGCTAGTGAGACTGCTCAGGATATAGCTACCAAACTCACCTGTCTTTTTCATGCTTCCTCTTTTGTCTCAGTCTGATTTCCCTTGAAGTCATGTAAAACTGCAAAAGAAATATCCAGTTAATTCATTATTATTCAATACAAATAATTAAACCATTAGACATAATTCTGCTATTTATTATAGAAAGCAGTACAAAATACTGTCATATTTGATGAAGCTTTCCACTCTAGCACAAAACATGAATATGTTAAATTAAGCATCATACAATTAAAGTAAAATCCAATTTAATAAATGGAATGCAAAGTCTATAAAGTGTCCCAAAAGTCTCCATACAAAGGAAAAATTTTGTAAAATTTTGTAATGAATGAATATTTTGTAAATAAAAGTACATTTAGCTACAATTTCCCATTTTCCCTATGTATGGCGACTTTTCGGACACCCTGTATTTTACTAGTTGAATTAATATATTTTCTCAAAGTGGAGAACCTTATTAACTTCACTTAAAATGGAAAACAGAAACATGTTAGGGATGAAAACACCTATATTCTGTACTCAATTTTGTGATTAATCTCACCAAGAGCTTTGTTAATAAAGCAGAAACGAGTCATCGGCATTTACAATCATCATTCTGATGTTTTAAAATGTTCACCCAAAACCTACTGCAGTGAGTTCATTGTGACTTGTAAACTCTTCAAAATTTATGCCCCAGAAGGCAAACAACAAATGACACATACATCTTATCCCAAAACATTAAGAATTATTGTCATGAGTTACATGTGAGATTAAATCTTTTCATACACAATTATATATATAAAAATTGACACACAGAAGTAAATTTACTTTCTTAAGATCCTATAGAGAAGCAGTAACAAATTAAAGCTCTTGTTGATTTATGATAGAAATGCGAATGAAATTTTTAATTACATTAACCAGTCACTAATCCCATCTCTTTACCCAAATAGATGTTAAAAATAAAGAAATGAGTGTTTGCAATCTTGAATGAGATGTCACAAAGTCTATGAACTAAGGAGTCCTTATGCCTTATGCCCTCGGAGTTAATTTATTCTAAATCTGGATACAGGATAACCATCTTGGGTATTTACGTTCTTTTTTTTTTTTTTTTTTTATTTCAGCAAATTATGGGTGTACAGATGTTTAGGTTACGTGTGTTGCCCTTGGTTCCCCCCCCACCGAAGTCCGTGTTTCAAATATATCCATCCTTCGGGTAGTGCGTATTGCACTCCTTGTGTATACAAATACCCGTCTTGGCAGGGAAGGCGATGTCTGAACCCATTCTTCACAGGATGGGGAACACACACACACACACACACACACACACACACGCATGCACTTTAAGATTCTAGTCACGTACCTCAGTATCCCTGAGGGTCACTACCATGTCTCCACAGCTATCAAGAAAATGCTATATTAACACCAATATGCTCTTTTCAGAGGCAGGTAAGTAAATTACACACTTTAAATAATAGTTCACCTACATTTTACTACCTGGTGTTTAAATGGGACAGTCTTATCTGGAAAATTCACTTACAGAATTTGTTCTCCTAATGATGCTGAAACAATGAAGTGCTATTATATTAACATTTTATTTTACTTTTGATTAAGTAAAAGATAAACTGTAATCCAAATGTATTTTCTTAGTATTATAACTATCAAAGTAAGACTGCTTTGTTGCACTGTTTGAAGAAAACTGCTCCTCACCTAGACATGGTGATGTCCATATTCACGGGTAAGTAAATACATGCTGACAGTTTAAAAGGCAGTTAAAAAAAACAAAATTACACACAGACAGAAGTGCCACTGTTCTGTTAGTACATGATTGGACCATTGTTTGTTTTTTTTCTCTTTATTCATTGTAAACTTATGGATAGAAAACTGAGTTTTAAAAATGGCTTTAATACAGTTATTTCAACTGCCACTGACTCTTAAAATTAAAGGAACAGTTCCAATTGGTCACCCGGTCACTCAACCTCCTTATTTTCTTAAAAGGCTAGAGCCATAATTAGCCTGGGGGAGAAAAAAATATTTATGATAGTTCAAGAAAACATGGTTCAATTCTCATCAATCAAGCACAATATCCTGATACATTTTAAGGTAATTTCTTAACTTTTCCTGACTTAAAATGATGACTTTTCTATCTGCCAAATAAGAAACACATCCAAATTATTAGGTCATTAAGTATGAAATGTTGGATTTCTGCAAGTGCTAAGTTTGACAGTTGCTATCTCTGACATTTTCACTTCGACACTTCTTGTTTTATTTTTATTGTGAAGGTACATCCTCATTATTTCAAACCCATGGTTTTTGGCTTGTGATTATCTTTCAATTTTTTTAGACCAACTTTTGTGAAACCATGGATAAGTCAAAAATTCGTGTTATTTTTGAATATGAGTTTCATTGTGGAACCAGTGCTGCACAGACAGCTCAAGATATCAGTGAAGTGTCTGGGAAGGATGTGGCTAATGAACACATAGTATGTGGATGGTTCCAGAAGTTCCATTCTGGTGATTTTAATCTTGAAAATGAGCCACGTGGGCAACCTGGGACCAAGGTGGATAATGATGAGCTGAAAGCTGTAATAGAAGTGAATCCATCTCAACCTCCGCATGAATTAGCAGCAAGGTTTCATGTTACTATTCCAACAATATTGGACAACTGCAACAAATCAGCAAGGTAAAGAAGCTGGATAGATGGGTACCTTATGATTTAAATGACTGTCAGAAGAGAAATTGTCTCAAAGCTTGCCTTTCTTTGCTGTTATGACATGAAGGCATACCATTTCTACACTGTATTGTTATATATGATGAAAAATGGATTCTTCCTGACAATTGCAAGCATTTGGCACAATGGTTAGATAAAGATGAAGTGCCGAAACACAGTCCAAAACCAAATATTCATCAAAAAAAGCTAATGGTGTCTGGTGGTCCAGCACTGGTATTCTCCACTACAGAGTGATGAAACCTGTGGTCAGTCGATTACAGTGGATGTCTACTGCAGACAATTGGATCAAATGATAAGGATGCTTGAGATTAAGCAGCTGAGATTGCACAATAGAGACAAGCCAATCCTCTTGCAAGACCACATGTTGCAAAAAAAATAAACAAAAAAACACTGCTCAAACTACAGAGACTGGCCTTGGAAACTCTCTGTCATTCACCATATTCACCAGACCTTGCCCCAACTGACTACCACTTCTTGCAGGCTTTGGACCACTTCTTGAAAGGAAAAATATTCAATTCTCAACAGGCTATGGAAAACACTTTTCGTGATTTTATCACCACTTGTTCTCCAGGCTTCTTCGCTGCTGGCATAAACAAGCTACTGTTAGGATGGCAAATCTGTGTCCATAGTTTAGGCTCATACTTGATTAACTGTACTGCTTCTTGTTTGAAATATAATAAACTACACTTTTGATTCGAAATCAGACATTTCGTATTGAATGACCTAATATGTTAATCCTTTTCTCAAATATTTGCCAGGAAAAAACCGCACATATTCTGTGATAATTCCATCATCCTTGATACTGCAGACTTACTGGATTGCTTCTAGGGCAGAAAGGATTATGTTCTTGCCTTCTCTTTTCTGCCAGCTGCTTTAGATACTCTGCCATTCTTTCTTTTTGTTTTCTTTTCATCCAGACTTGAATCTCTCTTCTCTCCTTCTCAGTTCTTTGTGGATGTCTGCCAGAAGAATGCTGAATTCTGGGAAATTTAACAAGCAAGGCATCATTTGCCTTTAAATTTGTTATGCAGGTAAGAAATATCATGACTAAATACTATTCATTTGGAAAGATTTTGCCCCATCTTGAAAAGTAGTACACATTTATGATCTCTAGTCAACTCACCCCAATCTGTCCTTGAAATCCACTGAAAATGGTCTCAAAGTTCACCAACAACTTTTTTATAACATTTGCTTTAAAGCTACAGTCCCCAACCCCCAGGCCACAGACTGTCTGTGGCCTGTTAGGAACTGGGCTGCACAGCAGGAGGTGAGCAGCAGGCAAGCAAGTGAAGCTTCCTCTGCATTTACAGCCACTCCCCATCACTCCCATCACCACATAAGCTCCGCCTCCTGTCAGATCAGCAGCAGCATTAGATTCTCACAGGAGCACGAACCCTACTGTAAACTGCATGTGAGGGATCTAGGTCGCCCGCTCCTTATGAGAAACTAATGCTGATGATCTGAGGTGGAGCTGAGGTGGTGATGCTAGCGCTGGGGAGCAGCTGCAGATACAGACTATCATTAGCAGAGAGGTTTGACTGTACAATAAATGTAATGTGCTTGAATCATCCTGAAACCATTCCCCGCCAACCCCACCCCTGGTCTGTGGAAAAACTGTTTTCCATGAAACCAGTCCCTGGTGCCACAAAGGTTAAGGACTGCTGCTTTAAACTTTTCCCCTTTTTCTTTTAACTCTATCTTACCTGGGTCTTTTCCTAATTCTCAAAACACTACGTAGCTTCCTATATTGTCTCCTTTCTTTTCTCCTCACCACCTCAATATTAATGTCTTAAAGGTTCCATTTTAGATTTATCTATAATTTATTCCCTGAACTATGTCAATAACTTTCAAAACTTATAATACAGAGATGACTTCAACTGCTGCCCTTCTGGATCTAGCCCCATGTTTAGGCCCCTGCCATACTTCCCATGGTCTGGCCCGAGTTAATGACTAAGCATGGCAGGGACACTGCAGTAGGCCCATTCCTGCAAGACACAGGTGATACGCTGGGTGATTTTGGCTTAAGGTCTTACACTGACCTGGCTGAAATATTCTTAGAAGTATGCACCACACTCTGTCTCCCAACCCTCTTCTTTTCTCTCTCTCCATCACAGAGAGGCCTCAGACCAATATTGTGGTCTGATGCTTCTCCTCTCTCTCTTTTTTTTTTTCCTTATTCCCCTTACAAGCACTTCCCCTACCCTCAATAAATCTCTTGTACATCTAATCCCATCTTGGCTTCTGCTTCTTGGAGGATCCAAACTAATGCAAGTGATACTAGGAGTGGTCTGAGAAAACTGGCGGTGCAAGATGGGGATTTGGGGCAGATGCATCACCCAGAGTGTGAAGAAGACACCATCCTACATGGAAGATGGGTCGCAAATACAAACAATGTGGTTTATTCTGAATACCTGCTTTCCTTCTGGAAGTCTGGAATCTTGGTACATGTCAGGGAACACCCTCAGTAAACCCCATGCACTGAGTCTCTAATGAGCTTGCCTGGTAGACAACATTTCGCACATGTTGTCACAACTTGTTGCTGCAGGAATTAAGTGTGTCCCGTGTGATTCTACTGGGAAAGGATTCTTGGGAGCTTCTGCCTGATTTCCCCTGGAATTTACTGCATGTACCTTTTTCCTTTACTGATATTGCTTTGAACCTTTTTGCAGTGATAAATTCTAGCCACCAATATGACTATATGCCGAGTTCTGTGAGTCCTCCTAGTGAACCACTGAACCTGGGGGTGATCTCAGGGACCCCCCCAGCACAGGATCAGACCCATATTGGCATTGCAGTCTGACAGCTGTCCTCACCTTGTATGGCATCCTCTCTCGTTCCCCTCCAATTTATTTGGCTTCTATCCAAATAAATCTCTTGCTTGTCAAAATCCTATGTGCTTCTCAGAGGACTTAAAACTAAGGTACCAATGAATATTACCAAAAAAATGTTCTTCTGGCACCTTATACCTAAAACTGCATTCTCTATCTTGCTAAAGAAATCATTATCAACTCAGTCATCCAAGTAGAAAAGCTGTCATTCTCACCTCCTGACAGCCTCACGCCTATTGCACTAGACTCTCCATTCTAATTCACCTCATCTCTAGACTACTGAAGCAAGACTTCTAATTGGCTCCTATTTCCAGTGAAAGTCCTTTGCTGACTCCTGTACTACTCATAGAAAGACTGAGCTCAGTGAGTTTCCCAGTTTGCCCCACTCTCCCCTTCCAGTGCACAAACTCTAGCCACGCCTAATTCCTTGTCCTTTACTGCCAGTCACATCTTTGTGTACTATCTTCTCTCTGCCTAGAACACCTTTTCTCCCAATTATCAGCCACATAAATTCTATTGATCCTTTGAGATATGGTTCAAATCCAGAACTAGTGTAGCTGCCTTCTTTGGCTGACTCTCTTCCTCTGAGCTCGCATAGCACTGATATAACTTGGTCTTATAGCTCTATCTCCAAAAGCAGAAACCTTATTTAATTTTTATACTAATTCTTGACATTTAATAGACTATTGTTGATAACATGATCATTAACTTAAAAAACGATTGAAGGTAACTAAATGTGTTAGCTTAGGAAGTTAGAGTTTACATGGTCTTGATACAAGATCATATACAATATAGCAGATAAATTCCATTAATTAAATAGAAATCGTAGTTTTCTCTTTTTTTTTGGCATGCTATTTCCCGCTAACAGTTTTGTAAGTTTGAGTATACACTGCATTTTCACTGAGGTAGTAAGTGGAATTGAACTAAGAAATAAAGAAGTACAGCTGCTATTCATAAGGCTGACTATGTTATATAAACAAACCAGGAGTGTATGTATCGTGGGGAAGCATCAGTAGGAGAGTCAACCTTCATTCTATCGGGAACCAGTTCCTGACACAGGGAAGATTGTAAGGAAACATTTTAACCTAATATCCAAGGAAAAGCTATTTAAATGTATTCTAAGGGTTAATATTTAGGGTAAAGTGCCAGGAACTACATCATTAATTACTTCTAATAAGAGATAGGACTAAAAGTATGTTGTACTTAGAGTGAAGACACCTTGGAAAAACTCACAGGATACAGATATATACTACACTTGTTGGGGGAGAGGGAAGAATGACAAATACACATCACAAAATGCATTTAGGCAGAAAAAAATCTATTTTAAGCTTCGAATTTGTTCCATAAAAATCACATCAAAATATGGTCAATTTTGAACATTCTTGAACCATAAATATTTTAAATGGGATTACCTGGAGATATTCCTGGCTTGTTGTTCTGTTAGGCCAAGTTCCTCACTGGAAATTCCATCTTTAGTTATAAGGTCATCAATAATGTCTGCAATATCAGTCAATCCAGTCATCTGGAGTGGATCTTCTGAAACACTTCATTTGTAAATGTAATTTGAGAAATATGAATCAGTATCCACAACTTAATTACATTAAGCAAAAATGAACATGTAATAAATGAATACAAAATAATAAACATATATCTGCTGTTCCTTCTATTTCTGTAATCCTAGTAACTCTCAGTGGAAAAACCTAACAACTGATAATTAATGACTTAGTAGGTTTTCTTAAAAAAGCAAATATAAGGCCCAGGAGAAAACCTCTACAGGTCCTGCCTACTGAAATTTAATACATATTTAGTAAAAGATAATGTAGCAAATATAGCCTATTGTATTTTAATTACCTGTACGAAACAGTAAGGGATATAATAATCCTCAATTTCTTAAAACATCCTATTCCCAATGGGAACTTAACTGTACTCCTTTACACCATGAAAAGATGTATAGTGTAAAAGTTCATACACGTGTGAACAAAATTTCCAGAACACATATTTATAGCAAATTTTAAGTAAAACTGTAAATTTACTCAAGATATTTACCTCTCAAATAATTCATCACTGTTATTCATACCTTTAAAAAAGAAACATTATTATTAATAAAAACTTCAAGTCGTTTTTTTTACTTTCAATTATTGACCTGACTTAGAAATTATATAACCAGAAATTAAATATTTTTAAATGTCCAAATTGGTTTAAAGATATATATGTACAGCATATTGTCTTCCTCTTGAATATGCTATTTGGTAGTAAATATTGTCTACACTTTAAGATAATTACATTTCTAGCTCAAGTATTCTGTATAATATCCTTCAGAAGGAACAACTCTGCTTAGTACATTGTTTAGAATACTAGAGTGCAATTAACTTTATATAAAAACAAACAAAAAACTTCTGGTGATCTAAAAGCAATATAGTTTGGAAAATATCTAATTTAAATCCAAGAACCCATTTACTTATAAGATCATGACCCAAAGAATAATTTTTAAGGTTTGTTCAGTATGAACTACATGTCTTCAAAGCAAACCACTTACTCTTGTCAATCTTCTATATGTTTAACTCTAAAAGAGAATTGAATTAACATAGGGAAAAGTGTTGTGACATCTCTTCTCAAAAAAAAATTCCTTAAGATTTGATTAGACCCAAGATAAACCAAACCTGCCCCTACAACTTATACATACACATATTTTTAATATGAAATAATTTTGGTTTCTTGAAAACATATTGTTCTATTTATTAACTCCCAAATCAAGGATTTTATCTTTGTCCTCAGAGGCTGGGAATTTGTGAGTTCTTAATAGCAATTAATGAAATTTAACTAAGAGGGAAATACTTCACATAAACCTAAGATTATAGCAATAACAATAATACTATTACTAGTATTAGTAATAATACTACCTCTTAGAGCTTTTGCTCAGGAGAAAAAGATAACATACACTTTGAAAAGAGAAGAATACTTTCTATCAGTGTTTGAGTAGCCCCTGTTGGCCTATTCCTAAAAAAGGCATGAAGGGATTCTCTTCCAGTACTGGCTGGGCTGCATAGGGGAAGTCAGTGAGACTGTCAAAGACGGAGACCTCTCAGGGTGAAGTCCGAAGTGTCAGGCATCAAAGGGAAGTAAGCAACCAGCTGTTCTGCTGTTCGTGACCCATGGCCACAGTACCTACCAACCTGGGCAAACCTTGTCAAACCTATGCAAGTTTAATACTTCTCAATCACTATTGCTAAAGGAGAACATCTTTTTGCAGAACTCCAGAGCACTTTGATAACAAATGCAATTTAACTAAATCATTTCATGTTTAAAGATAAACAGTTTTACATGATAGAATTCAGTGCCTTTGGTCCTGACAAAGATCTTCCTCAATACAGTTATTGTTAAGAAAAGCCTCAACTACTGAAAGAAAAAATAATAATGGTGAAAGTATAGATTCATCAGATATAAAAAGTATGACTACTAAGAAATGAAACTAATTTCTTTTATCAAAGAGCAGAAAAGTGCTATATCCAAATGAATACTTTTAAAAGTAGTTACAAAGGGAGAGTATACCTTATTTCATTTTCAAACCATTTTTGGAACTCTTCCTTTGGAACTGCTTTCATAGACAATTTATTAAACACAATGGATCAACTTTATTCCTTGATATCCACAATTTCTTATTTTTAATTCCAAACAGTGACATTCAGCCTGGTCACATACTTCATTTACCAGAAGTGCCCCTGAATAACTTTTGTCTGTTAGCAAAAATTCAATCCATCTTCAGTGAATAAATTATTTGCCACTATTAAGAATATTCAGAACAATGTCCTAAGAAATGGAACCTAATTGCAAAAGAGGAAATATAAGCTATTTTTGATCATTAAAGCAAGGGAATGACAACACATCTTTCTAAGATGCCATCTTTGGAGAAAATATCCATTAGAGCATCTAAATTCTGTACGTTGTTAAAATATAGTAATATGGTTTTTTCCAAATTTATTATCATACATTAAATACTAAAGAAAAGCATTTGAATTTATCCATCTTTATATGTTATGCCATTTATTGACTTTTCTCCTTCTCTTTTCTTCCATCCTAAGAAGCTAGTATAATCCTGTATGAATCATCTCCTTAACCCAGTACTTTCAATTTCTCTTTTCCCACTACCTTTTCTTCTGCCTTTAAACATTAAATAATTTTTT